AACCAACTAAGCCACTCGACCAGGGGTAGGTAAAAAATTTAAATGTAAAATACAAAAATTTTAGAAGAAAACACAGGAAGAAATCTTCAGGACCTGGGGTTAGGTGAAGGCTTTTGAGACATCAAACTATATAGCACAGTCCATAAAAGGACAACATAATAAATGGGGCTTTATCAAAATTAAAAGAATTCTGCAAAAATTCTGTTAAGAGAATGAAAAGATAACCTACAGACAGAAAAAAAATATATTTGCACTCCTCAAATATTACAAAGGGCATGTATCTAGAATCTATAAAGGCTTCTCAGAACTCCACACTAAATAAACCCTAATATCAAAATGCCTTAAGATGTGAAGAGACATCTCACACTCTGAATGATGTTTTAATTTCAGTAGCCTTTATGGAAATGCAAAATAAGAACATGATGATGCACCATTATGAAAACAGCTAAAACATAAAATCCTGACAATGCAAAATGCTGGTGAGAAATGGAATGTTTTATTCACTGAGGGGGGAACATGGAGCAGGGCAGCTCCCCTGGAAAGGAGTTTGGCAGTTTCTTTAAAAACTGAATATACACCTGCCACATAATCCAGTAATCATATTTCTGTACATTAATGCCAGAGAAGTGAAAACTCATGTTCACACAGCAACCTTACACAGATGTCCATAGAAGCTTTATTTGTCATAGCCCAAATGAGAAACAACCAAAGTAGCCTTCAACAGGTGAACAGACAAGCTGTGGTACATCCATGCTGTGGAATACTACTCGGCAATAAAAAGAACCAACTATGGGTACACCCAGCAACTTGGATCATTCTTGAGGACATTATGCTGAGATATGTCAGTCGCAGAAAGTCACACACTGCATGATTCCATTTATTCAGCATTCTAAAATTCACCAAATTCTAGAGATGTCAGATGCTAGGGTGGTGATGTCTAGAGGGAAGTAGTTGTAACTATGAAGGGTAGCATGAGAGAGATCTCTGTGGTAATGGGATGGTTCTATGCTTGATTGCGGTGGTGGTTACACAAATCTACAAAGTGATAAGTCACAGGAATAGAACTGTACACACACAATGTACCAATATCAGTTTCCTGGTTGTGATACTACAGTATATTAAAATATAACCATTTGGGGAAATGGTGAAAGGCTACAGAGGATCTCTCTGTACTGTCTTTGAAATTTCCTGTGACTCTATAATTTGTTCAAATAAAATGTGTTTTAAAATTAGCTTTCTAGCTAAAATTCAAAACACTAAAAATACCAAACATCAGCAAAGATGGACTACAACAGGGACTCATCATTCGTGGTGGGAATGCAAAATGGTACAGTCATTTTGGAAGACACTCTGGTGGCTTCTTAAGAAGCCGAATGGATTTTACCATATGATTCAGCAATCACAGTCTCAGGGATTTACTCAGATGAGTTGCAAACTTTGTCAACACAAAAACCTGCACACAGCAGCCTTATTTATAATTACCAGAACTTGAAGTAACCTAAATGTCATTCAATAGATGAATGGATAAATAAGCTGTGGTGCAGTCACACAACTAAGTATTACGTAGTGATAAAAAGAAATAAGCTATTGAGCTAAGAGAAAACATGGGGAAATCTTAAATAAATTTTACTATGTGAGAGGATTATCTTAGACTGAAAAAGTGACTTACTATTTGATTCCAATGATATTACATTCTGGAAAAGGCAAGACTGTGAAGATGGTAAAAAGATCGGTTGTTTCCAGGGTCCAGGGAGAGGAGGAGAGAGATGAACAGGTGGAGAGGGGTGTTTTCAGGTTGGTGGAATTAGTCTGTTTGATACTGCAATGGTGGCTACATGGCATCACGCATTTGTCAAAAGCCATTGATGTGTATGATATAAAGAGTGAACCCTAATGTAAACTACGGACATCAATGAATGATAATGTATCAACATTGGTCCATCAGTTGTAACAAATGTACCACACTAATGCAAGACGTTAATACCAGGAGATACTGTATGTGGAGCAGGGGAAAAGGGGGTTAGGGGACTCTTGTACTTTCTGCAGATTTTTTTCTGTAAACTAAAGGCTTCTCTGAAAAGTAAAGTCTATTTGCTCTGGCCGGTTTGGCTTTGTGGTTAGAGCGTCAGCCCTCAGACCAATGAGTTGAGGCTTCGATTCCGGTCAAGGGCATGTACCTCGGTTGCGGTTAGTCCCCCGGCCCTGGTTGGGGTCATGCGGGAGGCAACCGGTCAATGTGTCACTCTCACCTTGATGTTTTTCTTTCTCTCCCTTTCTCTCCCTCCTACTCTATCCAAAGATAGAGAAATAAAATAAAATAAAGATAAAGTGAGGCACACTAAAATGTCAAGAGTTTATGTTTCAAACATCGGTTGAAATCCGGCAGCATCCAGAAGTGTTTAGGAGCGCTTCGCCACCAGGAGCTGGGGAAAGGCTTCGATAGACAAGACCAGGAAGCAAAGCATGGGCACGGTTTGATTGGCCATAATGTAAGCAGCTGCCTTACTTGGGAAAGCTTACTTGTTGTTTGTGATCGATTGTTCTTAAATTTCATGTTCTGGGGCACAAGTGCATCTACAGAAATTAACTTGTACTTAGGTTTGGGTTTGCTAATGTCGGCTACCAAGGCATGAGAACCTTCTCTGTTTAATTAATTTAACAATTCCCTCCTTTTGGTTACCTTCTCACATGTGAGAAATAGACTGAACATTTGACATTAGCTCTGGTATCTGGTATTTGGTGTTTGGTATTTGGTATTCTGTCATCGCCAGGGTTAAGTTGCTCTTGGTTTGCTGTGAAATGCACAGGCTATGAGGCCAGGTTTGCAGCTTTGTGCTGCTCATCCTATTGTTCTCGTTTTCCAGCACAGTGAGGCCATCTGATGCACTGCCGTGGCTGCGAGCAAGTTTCTAAGATGCATAGAGAACACAGCGCAGGGGGAGGCTGCAGTGATGACGGTCAGAGACCACCGAGAGACTGAAGTACCATCTTATCCAAGCCCCATGCAACAAACCAGTGGGTATAAAATCAATTAAATAATGTACCTGAAGAGGCATCAATCAACCTGTTTTAGCCAAGTGGCATGTTTGTTACTTTCTTGTATTCGAGTTTCTACCCCAGAGGTGTTAATTCCGGCAGAGCAGGGGTGTTTAACACGGCACAGACAGCTTGTTCAGCAAACATGTAATGTAAAGCGATTCCATTATGTGGCACCTCCTCATCAGCCCAAAATAACCCTGACACCAAAGAGGTATACTTTGGGGCGGCACATTCTGCCACCCTTCAAGGTCAACCTGCTTTGGTTAGTGCCTATTTTGTTTTGTCTCTCTTATTTTATTTTATTTTTTTATCCTCACCAGAGGACATCCCTCCATTTTTTGTTCAGACGGAATGGGAGGGAGAGAGAGGAAGAGAGAGAAACATCGACGTGAAAGGGACACATCGAGTGGCTGCCACCCGCACGACCAACCAGGGCCGGGGACAAACTGCAACCGAGGTAGGCGCCCTTAGCGGGAACCAAACCTGGGGCTCTCTGGACCACAGGCTGACACTCCAACCGCTGAGCCAAACCGGCCAGGGCTCTCTTAAATTTTTATCAACAGCTATAGACATTTTTAGGAAAAATAATGGAATTTATAATTTTGCAACACTATACCGCTAAGCATGGTAACTAATTACTTTGCTTGCATTTTTTCTTTAATTATTGTAATGACTCGACGTGATTAAAAAATAGCATCAGTATTTTAATGAAAGAAATCAGCCTAAATTGAGTTAGTAAGATACCAACAGGGAAGGGGGATTCAAATATATGATACCAGAAGGTGATTTGACTTTGGGTGGTGGGCACACAATGCAATATACAGATCATGTATCATAGAAATGTACACTTGAAACCCATATGATCTTATTAACTAACCAATGTCACCCCAATACATTTACTTTATTTTTATTTTATTTTTTAAATCCTCACCTGAGGATATTTTTTCATTTCTTTTCAGACAGAGTGGGAGGGGACAGAGAGAGAGAGAGAGAGGAGTGAGAGAGAAACATGGATGTGAGCGAGACACACTGACTGGTTGCCTCCCTCACGACCTCAATCAGGGCCAGGGACTGAACCGCAACCGAGATCTGTGCCCTTGACTGGACTCGAACCTGTGACTCTTTGGTCCACATGTTGAAGCTCTAACCACTGAGAAAACCAGCCAGGGCATCACCCCAATACACTTAATAAAAAAGGTACTAATGAATACTTAGCTAGTGAATGCCCAAGTCTAATTCATTTAAAAACACTTATATACCAGTCTACCACATTGTCTTAGATAATTTATCTTTATGGTTTGGCATAGGTTCTGGTAACCATTTTAGAAATAAGTATCAAGTAACAGTTTCACAAATAAACGAGCAATAGCTCACTGTGTTTCAAACATTCTTTCTACCACACCCTTTACCCAGTTTTTCCACTAAGGGTCACATCTCTGAATACAAGATTGTTCCAAGAATAAGTCAGACCATTCTCGTGGTAATAAAATTGGCATCCAAGTCTATGTTAATAGAATGGGTAAAGGCAATTCTCAGCGTCTAATCGCATTCCTCACTGAGTCTGGAACAGGTGATGTTGATGTGGAAATTCTATAATAAATATGGATCCTCCTCTATTCTGCTCTCCACTCCACCACCCTCTTCTCCCCTGTGCCACTATTTTCAGAGGCCAAACCCTAGGTGTTGAGATTCCTTCTGATGAAGATCCAGATATTTCATTGACTTGGAGGCTTAGGAAACAAAACCAAATTCTGAATTCGTTGCTCAGTAGAGATCTCCCAACAAAAGTCTTATTCTAGACTTTTCTAGACGAGGACTGGACCACAGCAACGGGATGCTCACAGATCCTCTGCCTGAGACCATGCCCGGATGAACCTGCATATTTGTGATTAGTTAGAGGATGAAAGGATCACATACATCCAGCTCCTGTGAAGAACTGGCTCGGACACCAAAACTCCACATAGACTCATCCAATAGTTTATTGCATTTGGAAAAATCACAATCACAGTTTGAAGAAACCCCAAGTGATAGGTGGACAGGAGATGCTTCCACAGAACTTTTAAAAGCTTCCACAGTGAAGAAAGGATCTCACGGTGCCTACTGTAGGGGCATCGCATGCTGATAGTGAAAAATGATAGTGGGAAATGAGCGAAAACAGATATGGGAAGGGGCAACGAACAGGGAAGCCCAACAAAATGCTCGAGCATGGGCGATCAAGGAGGTGCCATCGCTCTTAGACCGGCCAAGGAGCTGAAAAGTGCTGAAGAATGGTTGTCTTCACTCAGGGAAACCATTGGAGAGTCACCAGGCTTGTAAAGATACTAAAGCAGAAATCTCTTCATCGATCTTCTCCCTAAGAAATTCCACTACCTGTAGAAAGACACACATAATTTCTAAAGAGTTTAAGATGAATATTTGGGCAGTTACCTTCATATTCTTCCCCCTTCTCCCTCAATCCGTTGACTTTGGAAAAGTCTCTTAATATTCACCTGACCTCTAGTAAATGCAACTTTGCAACATGAACTGCTGTATTCTGCTCTCCACGTGAGTCCGGATGAGCAGGCCCTGCTTTACCTTCTCTTAGAACCCCTGACCACTTTTCAGATTGGAGGGAAAAACAGGCTTTGGTATTCATACAATGAATTACACTGACCCAGAAGAGCCATGCTCTGGAAATGCTTTTGACCTAATGGCTGGCCTCATAAAACATAAGCCAGGAAGGGCCCAAATCTTGAAGCTAATTTTCCTAGATCACTGGACCCAGTATTCTAATGTTAAACACTGGTCTTAGGTACTGGAGATAATTTTCAAGACTGGAGGTCTAGGTGCACATGTATGGACAGAAAAGATGGACCTTGAAGCTTTGGGACATCGGACAATGCCCCTGTCTGAGTCGGTCCTAGCCAAGGTAAGTCGAGCCATGCTTGTCCCTTCTTCCCCCTAAGGCATCCCATGCCCTTTCCTCCACTCGGAGTCCTTTCCTCCACGATGACTCCATACCTGTCTTCCTCCGACCGCACCAGACCCACCTGCAGTGCCTCACAGCGGCCCCCGGCGCTCAGCAGCACGGTCTTTGCGCATGCCCTTGACGATGAGGATGGTGCCAACAGTGATGCCCACCAGACCCACAAGCAGGCCCAGGCCACACACCACATTCTCCTTGGTCTCTAGGAGCGGGGCTTGTGCTTCAAACTCTGGGGAAATATAAAACGGGGCATAGAAGTAATGAATGTGATACCAAGTCAAATAACAGTTATTAATCAACTAAGCAAGAGGAAGACAGGACGATGTATTAAGGGAATTACAAGTTAGAAAGTGAGGAAAGCTGGGTGACGGGGGGACAAGAACGGGAATTGTAGCAGTTGCCATGAAACAGTTCGGGGACTCTGAGTCCACAGGACCAGACACGTGCGTCACAGGAGGAAACCATGAAGTAAAGGAGATTGAAGGATGGTCCACACCCCAGTGCTTGGTCAGGGGCTCCTCCAAACCCCAGTGCTCCGCCTTGCAGTCATAGAAGTCCTCGTTTGAGGGCAGGAAGGGGAGGTAGTAGAACTTGCGGAAAAGGTGGTCCTCCCTGGGCAGGAAGACTGTCTCTGACACTCCGGTTGTGACAGGTTTTCCATTGCGAAGCCACGTGACATTGATCACTGGTGGGGAGAACTTGTCGACGAAACAGATGAGGACGTTGGGCTCCCCCAGTTCCACAGCGCTGCTGGGGAGCACAGTCATCTCCGGAGGTACTGGGGGACACGTGACAGAAATTAGCCTTCCGTGCCTAGGCTTGGCCCCTCCCTCTCTCCCACTAAAGCTGAGAAAGAAGTTGATATTGTGCCCTGAGAATCTATACCAGTCTCAGATACCTATCTCTGACACGCTCGCCCAGAAACTGTAACTGATACTGAGGTATGAGAAATCCAAGGACCTCATTCCTGGCTCCCCCAGCAGAGATTCGGGGCAGTAACTTTGTGAATGACAGTGGGGCAGAGACAAGATGTGAGAACATTAGGAAATGAAGAAGCCTGTGGAGTTTGGGGGCCTCTAGCATGTGAAGTTAGGGCTTGCTTATGGCACGGTTAGGCCCTTGAAGGGAAAGTTATTCACAATAATATAACAAAAAGAGCTGAAGCATGTTTTAAAGCTACGATTCCCACATGCAGGAGTGCAGCAGGGAGAGGTACCGTTGGTGTTCGGGGTGTAGTTGGAGCGCTTTGTCATTATTTCGAGGTTGGCTTTGTCCACAGCTATATTGGCCAGTGCACCCTGAGCCTCAAAGCTGGCAAAATCACCAAAATCTTTGAGCCGCCAGACCGTCTCCTTCTTTGTCATATCCACATGGAAAATCTCGTCACCATCAAAGTCAAACATAAACTCGCCTAGTTGGTCAGGGTTCAGAAAGAACTCGGCCTGGATGATCACATGGTCCTCTGAAAAGGTAGAAAAGGGAGTTAGGGTTGGAACAAGCAGAGACAGATGAAGAGCCCAGGATGTGAGACACAGATTGTGGGCAGGGCTTGGGAAAGGGGTGCGCCAGGAGGGGTGCAGGTGAGAGGGAGAGTAGGGATGAGTGGGAAGATGAGGCCCAGGTGAGGCATATTCATGCTGAACAGAGACTGGAGGGAAGAAATTAAGGGGCACAGCAGAGAGGTGGGTTGAAGGAAATGGGGGCCCCGAGTCTTGTGAAGCGTGGTCTGTCCCCAGGTCACCAGCTGAGGAATGAGTTCCACTTGAGAAATCCAGCAGCAGCCCCTAAATGGTTGAGTTCTGAACTCTGACATCAAATTGAATTTTGATTCTTACTCAGCTACTTACTTACCTAGCGATCTTGAGCAGACTATGTCACCTACTTTCATGTAGTTTTCCTGCTATTTTCCTCTGTGGTTTTGCTTCTTCCATAGGCTGGTTTTTAATTTAAATTATACAAGGTAAGTAATTTCTTAGTATATTGTTGGGTCTATAACAAGCACTTTAGGGTCAGAAACTAGTTTGTATTTAGGGACTAGACCCATGAAAAATAACACTGGGGTCTGAGGTACCCAGGAAATTAAGATTGAGATTTTGTAGAGAAGCCCACTTTCCTGGATCTACACCCACACTGGGGATAACTCTGAGGGAAGAATTATATTCGTATTGACCTTGATAATGAGTCCTTATATCTTAAAGCTCTTTATATTGAGACTGTCATTACAGGGTCTATTCTATCATGGTTAATACTGAGAATAATCTATATTAAGGGAATAATCAATTTGAAGTAAGAGAGTACAGCTGGAGAGCATGCAGCCTCCACGGTGTATGCAGAGGAGAGGGGGATTGTAAAGTCGGACTGTAGCCCTGGCCAGTTTGGCTCAGTGATTAGAGCATTGGCCTGCGGACCAATGAGTCGCGTGTTCGATTTCAGTCAAGGACACATACCTCGGTTGCAGTTTGTCCCCAGCCCTGGTAGGGGTTGTGCGGGAGGCAACCAGTTGATGTGTTTCTCTCATGTCAATGGTTTCTCTCATATCAATTGTTTCTTTCTTTTCTCTCTCTCTCTCTCCCCCCTCCCTCCCTCCCACTCTAAATTGAAGTCTGACTGTAGGTAAAGCCAGGGATTTATTTAGCATTTGCAGCTATGTGTTCTCATGCACGGGCGCGCGCACGCACACACACACATGAGTGCACACACACACAGGCATTCTAACTGCCCCTTTCCAACACAAGGGAAGAGCTTCTCTCTCTTCCCAGGTAAGCATCCCACGTACAGCTCTTCCTGGGCTACAGAAACCTACATTTGCCATCATGGACCTTGGAGCTGGGCTGTTACTTCACTTGTTTCCCGTCTACCTGACACGCTCCGCGGTGGTCGCCTGGAGTGAAAGCTATTTCTTCACAACACATCTTCAGTGCGGCACACGCTCACTCAGGAGATGGCGGAGACATCAGACTCTTCACTTTCTTACTCATATTTCCACTCTCTGGGAAAATTGCTAAGTAACCGTGACCAAAGATCATTGTAGGGCCCAATGTAGAGGGCCTGTCACTGTCCCAGGAGGCAATAAATTAAATGCAGTTCATGTCAGCACACCTGCCCTTCCCCCTCCCTTGGGTAGAGTGTTACTTTTTGGTGACTTTCCTTTCTAATGATCTTCAGTAAAATGTCATTGCTCAAAATATTCTGACAGAATTCACATGCCAAAGAACAACTACCATGAGTTCAGCAAGAACTCATATTTTTCTCATTTCATCCTCACAGAATTTTGTGAGGTTTTTAAGTTTACTAATCTTCTAGAAAGATCATTGGAAGCCCAGGGAGGCAGCTTGCTAATGCCTGTCAGAAAAGACTTCTCCCCCAAGTCTGGTGTATCTCAACTCGATGGCCCTGACCAATAAACAGCTCAGTTTTGTTCTCCTAAACTAAATTTGACTTAATTCAAATTGTGGTGAGGAAAGACCTCTTCCAACTATAATTTATTATACTTTTAAATATAGACCCACAGAGTACCTATCACACTTTTCTTTCACTCCAAATATATATATATATATATATATATATATATATATATATATATATATATAAAGAACACGTCCACAGTCCACTGTGGCCTCAGGGCTGCTGGCCCTGGTGGTGTCCCTCAGCACCTACCTTTGATAGCCCGTGCTTCCTGAAGGCTCACCAGGGCAACTGTGATGAAGAGTCCTAACACTGCGACTCCAGTGAAGGCCATTTTCCTCTCGGGTGCTTTGATGGGACTCACTAGAGCTCAAGAGTGGAGCAGGACAGACAGACGTGAAAGAAAAGAGAATGTAGTGTGTGGTGGTGTCAGGTTGGTTAAAATTCTAATCAGTTGAGCTGCAGCCAATCAGAAAACTGTTTTGAAGTGACACATCTGTTGCTAAGGAAAGGACTCTTGTAAAGGGTCTAGGAAAGGAGACACTTAGATAAAACGTCAAGTTCTTAAACAAACAAACAAAAACAACAAAAATTAGTTTTGAAAATGTTAGGCAATCACTCATCCTCTTCTGTCTCAGTCCAAGTTCTAGGGAGGGATATACCTGAAGCACATCAGTGAGAGTATAATTGATGGGACAACCTGAGGTGAGAGCTGATGGATCAGCCTCTGTGCAGTGACAGCTGGGGAGTGTATTCCAAGAGACAACAAAGCATGTAAAAAGCAGGGAAACTATCAGGCCCTGGAGAAGACCCGAGTCTTGGCAATCCTGGGGGCAGCCTCACTGACGGAGCTCCACGTTGCTTCAGGCTCCTCCTCCCGTGCCCCGGACCCCAGGTGGCCAGCTGTCCGGGGAGTTCAGGGTCCCCGGCAATGTACTGTACTTAGGGAACACTGGAGGAGAGACTGAGTTTTAACACTCCCCCAAATGAAGAGGGATGGAAAGCTACCCCTTGGAAATGGGTAGTGGTTACTGGAAACAGTGAATTGTTAAGGGCTACTTTTTTACTAATGCCTACTATCTTTTTTTTGTTTCTTTTTTATTCTCACCCGAGGACATTTTTTTTTTTTTTTCATTTATCTTCAGATAGAGTGTGGAGGAAGGGGGGGAAGGGAGAGAGAGAAATATTGCTGTGAGAGAGACACATTGACTGGTTGCCACCCACACAACCCCAGCTGGGGCTGGGGACAAAATGCAACCGAGGTACGTGCCCTTAGCGGGAACCGAACCCGGGTCTCTCTGGTCCTCTGGCCAGTGCTTCAACCACCAAGCCAAACTGGCCAGGGCTAATGCCGGCCATCTTAAACATGACAGAGGTGGAGTAGACTGTTGGGGAAACCCCACATTTGAGGTCTTGGGCTGATGAAGAAGCTGAAGTAAAGGGGGCAGATCTAACCTCACTGGGAATGCTGGGAGTGGCTGCCAGAGGGCATCACCATTACTTCCTCGTGTCATAAGATTATGGAAGTTCTGATCCAAATAATTAATCTTTATGTTTACTATTGAGACTACTGAAAGTTAAGATACCCTAACCTTCGTTTTTAAAAACATAGTGCAATGCAAAGGAAAATTAAACCACACATAGAAAGGGCTGGAATCCAAGTACTTTCAATGAAGGCAGCCATCAGATGGTGACTTCACTGTTCGCTATCAGTTATAACATATACTCAGGGGGATTTTTCCTCCTGTCTTACCCTGCCCTGCAGCTGCCACACAAATCATGAGGGCAAACGCCCTCCACGTTACCAATGGTCTGATCATGTCCAAGGGACTGAGCATTCTCTGGTACTGCTCGGCCCCTCGGAAGGGACCCACACACAGTTCCGCCCTGTGACTGTGAAGGAACACACTGCTGCCGGCAGGGAACGGGCCGGGGGAGCGCTCCACAGTATCCGTCTGCGCTGAGTCTCGTCCTGTGATCAGGTTTTGTCATCTCCTTTGTCGGAGGAAAAAGCAAGTGTGATTTTTCTGTGTCTGCCCTTTGCCACCCTGATGCCTCATTCTCTCAAGGAACTCAATAAATACATGGTAACTTTACAGGAAAAGATTTTACATGTCACAACAGCACCTTCAACCCAACGCACTACTCGGCAACTCATGATATTGTTTAGTCCAAAAACACTGATTGGTCCTCTTCATGAGATTACTAAATTTGGGAGATTTGGAAAAAGACTTTCAGTTCCCTTTCTCTGTGATAGTAGAGAAGTTCCCGTCCGGACACTGCTCACGATTCCCTGTTCTCCCCTGCGTGTTTGAGGGAGTTTCTGAGGGCTCCTCAATGAGGTCTCCTCGGTGACATGGATGGTGAGCCACGGTGCTCAGCGTTCAGTCAGGAAATCGAAACCCCGTGGACACGCTCACAGGATCGCCTACTACAATTCTTCCCGATTACAGGAAATTCCCCCTTAACATTGTCAGGGATCCTGGAGGAGCACAGACCCTACCGTTGAGAGGTCAGAGGTCAGAGGTCTGTGGGAAGTCACTGCTGACACCATAAGTCCTCTAGAGCCGCAGGGGAAGGAATGGGACACAGGTGGTTGCCCAGACTGGTTGCACAGGTGGTTGCACAAAGCTGGGAAGCTGTTGTGTCCAGCACGAGATGGCTTCAGCTTGCTGGCCACCTCCCAGCTCTCGCAGCATCGTTCCGCTGGCCGCGTGTCAGCACGTTTAGAAACCTGGGGCAGGGAGGGCCTGAGAAATGCCGTGTTCTTGTCCGTCTCCCGTGGCGCAGGTGGTGGGGCTGAGAAATGCCGTGTTCTTGTCTGTCTCCCGTGGCGCAGGTGGGGGGGGGCTGAGAAATGCCGTGTTCTTGTCTGTCTCCCGTGGCACAGGTGGGGGGGAGGGCTGAGAAATGCCGTGTTCTTGTCCGTCTCCCGTGGCACAGGTGGGGGGGGGCTGAGAAATGCCGTGTTCTTGTCCGTCTCCCGTGGCGCAGGTGGGGGGGGCCTGAGAAATACCGTGTTCTTGTCCGTCTCCCGTGGCGCAGGTGGGGGGGCCTGAGAAATGCCGTGTTCTTGTCCGTCTCCCGTGGCACAGGTGGGGGGGCTGAGAAATGACGTGTTCTTGTCCCTCTCCCGTGGCGCAGGTGGGGGGGCCTGAGAAATGCCGTGTTCTTGTCGGTCTCCCGTGGCGCAGGTGGGGGGGCCTGAGAAATGCCGTGTTCTTGTCCGTCTCCCGTGGCGCAGGTGGGGGGGCCTGAGAAATGCCGTGTTCTTGTCCGTCTCCCGTGGCGCAGGTGGGGGGGCCTGAGAAATGCCGTGTTCTTGTCTTTCTCCTGTGGCGCAGGTGGGGGGTGCTGAGAAATGCCGTGTTCTTGTCCGTCTCCCGTGGCGCAGGTGGGGGGGGCTGAGAAATGCCGTGTTCTTGTCCGTCTCCCGTGGCGCAGGTGGGGGGGCCTGAGAAATGCCGTGTTCTTGTCCGTCTCCCGTGGCGCAGGTGGGGGGGCTGAGAAATGCCGTGTTCTTGTCGGTCTCCCGTGGCGCAGGTGGGGGGCCTGAGAAATGCCGTGTTCTTGTCGGTCTCCCGTGGTACAGATGAGACCATAGGAGTGAATGAAAATTAAATAAAATGACCAAATGCAAATGCCTACCTACATAGCTCTATCTACCTTGGGTGGATACCCACCGTAGCGCACTCTGGCTCCCCCACAGCACCAAGCCTAGAACCCGAGAAAATAGTATCTGGGTTAAAGTTAGGCCTTGGAAATGAGAACATTCACACTGACCCCAAGTCTGGGATCTCATTGCTTCAAGTGTGTTGGTGGTTCTGAGAGCCTCCAGCCCCTTCTTTAGTCCCCCTTCCTTGCCTTTTGTCCCTCTGCCCCTAAGAATCTTGATATTTTCTTGCTGAATCCCCTGAGGAGCTGAGGGGATTTTGATCTGGGCATTTCCTTCCCAAATCCCCATGTAAGAAACTTTCCTTGTTCTGTATCATTTCTTCTCCTGATCCTGAGAGGCAGAACCAGTCTGTTGAAATAAGTTCCCAGCAGATTGAAAACTGTCATCTGTTGATATAAACAAATGTGCTAATGGACCTTCCTAAGGTCCTGTGTGGGTGAGGGCTCCGGGGCGTCCGGGCGCACCGCCAGCCTGGGGAGACGGCAGCTCCAGGGCTTGACTCATCCTCAGCCCAGCTCCCCCTGCACAGGACCCCGGGGTGAAAATCACCCCTCTTTGCCTGGGTAGTTTTAGTACATACATATACATATATTTATATATTGTTATATATACAAACACGAACACACACTCTCATGTTTGCTGTGCCTGTGTGTTCGTGTGAGGGTTTGGAAACTTTGAAGCTACATCTCAGAACCTCTCTCTACCAGCCGACCACAGGCTCCATTGCTATAAGCTGAGCATCCACAGCCAGGTTGTTCTACAGTTCCCAGTTTTCTCATGTGTTCTAAGAGGCACAAGCTTAGCTTAATGACTGAGAGATTGTGAAGGAGAAGATTAATTTGAAGAATCACCAAAGGAGCCCAAGAGTGGCCGCCTTCAGTAGCCGCCCCACCTGGCCGGCCAGCGGCTGCTCCTGTTCTTCGCACACCTGCAAGTTCCGAGCCACTTAGGTCCTGCGTCGTCCTCGCACTGGACGCCAGCACGGATCCCAGGAGCGGAGGGCGAGCCGACGCAAGCTGTCTTCATCTTTTGAAATTGTGCCTGCCCTCACCACTGGTCTTCCTCTCAGCTCTTCTCCCGGGACCAGGGCATGATTTTAGTCACTGTCCATGGAAGACACAGTCCAGAAACCCCGTCCGTAAGTATGACGCTCTGTCAGTGAGGTCTAAACTGGCGGGTCTCCTCTGTGTCGGAATGATTTTATAGAACATAGATACATTTCATAAACACTATGTGTGTCTGTTACTTGGAGAAGGGAAACTGGAAAAGTCTATTTCAATCAATCAAATGATACAATTTTTGTTTACTCATCAATTATTTGATTAGGTGCTATTTGATCATACTCTGTGTTTAAGGTACTGTTTTTGTTGTATTTTAGAACACCCGGAGCATACAAATGCAGCTGGCAGGTTGGATAAGCACCTAACGACATTTTTTATTGAAGTGACATTCATGAGCCTGCTGTGGCCCCTTCCCAGATTCTCATTAAGGGAGCGATGTCCCTGTCATTGTGCAGGAATTGGAGCATACCACGGGAAGTTTGCTCAATTTTAATTAACAGAACACCCTACAGTCTCTTTAAGTTGCACAAACACATCTTAATTCAGCAAGTAGATTACTTAGTACTATGCAACAATGAAAAGTCCCAGTGCAATGGCAGAGAAATACTTTTCTTCTCCAAGCTGGAGGGTTTTTGGAGGCAGGAATGAGTTTGTCCTTCCTTCTTTT